CTTTCACCCTTTTTCTCCTCCAGGGCTTTCTCTATGACCTCGATAAGGTAAGGTCCTGGAGCATGTGCAGCCTGCTGGGGTCCTGGGAATAGCAGGGCAGACCCTTCACTGAATTCCCACCTGCCTAGAACTGGGGACCTGGAGTTTCCACCACCCTGGGGCCTTGCCACCCATTCACTCTTTTTCCTTGATGTCTTCTGCTAATGCAGCCCCTCTGTGTGGGGTAGTTGCTGTGCCCCACATGGCAGTCCTTACTTGCAGAATTACTTGAAGGCTGGATTCTTTGGGGGCTCTTGGGTTTTGCTGGGGCTAATGGTGTCTGAAAAGGGTCAGCAGATGCAGAGAGGATGGTAGTGGTGAGGTGCAGAGGGTAGACTCAGCTTCCAGATCATCCTCCTTCCCCGCCCTTGTTAAGTTGCACTGTGTCCAGCTCTGAGACACAGCTCCTCCTTTCAGGAGCCACTCAGAAACACAGAAAAACTGAGACACCAGTGAGTGAACCAACGGGCCTTGTTTGGAAATCCAGAAGCTGGGCATTGAAGAATTAACACACGATTGACTTCACTCTGGTCCAAACATTCAGTGTCCAGCATGTGGCTGGGTCTGCATTGACATTGTGTTTGGGGTTCTCTGGGCTCACAGACAAGTGCAGTCACTGCCTTTTCTGTTGCTTTATATAGGTTAGACAGAAGCTTTTATACGTTTCAGTTCTGCTTGGGGGTTTGCGCTAGAAAGTCAGGTTCTGTCTGACCTAAAAAAAGCATGTGGTTGGGTGGAGAACTAGCAGCGTTATACCCTGATTAGCAGTAGGGAAATGAGACCTGATTGAACAGGAATGAAAGTCATTTTTAGCCAGGTTGTTTCAAATTTAGAGTTGTAGCTGGTTTCCTGCTAAAACCAGTTTAACTCCAATTCTTGAGGAAACCCTTGGGAGAAAAACACTCCCAGAGGCAGGCTGTCCCTGCCCTTTAAGTAAAAGGCTGAGGGGTCATGCTAATTTTTCATGGAAGACCCTGTAGGAACAGGGAATAATACTCTTTATTGTTTGAAGGTAGAAATGATCTTCTTAGGCTTGCTCCATATGTCTTGTAGCAGCAGTAAAGGCCCCCACCTGGGCCTGGGCTGACCCCTTTGTGGGCACTCTTTAGGCAGGAATCAACTATTGCCCCTGTAGCTGCTGCTTTGCCTAGTTCCATGCTCCTCCTGATGTGGCTCCTTGTTTTGTCTTCTAGCAAGTCAAGTCAATCGAGCGGTTCCTGCGGCGGCTGGAATTCCATGCTAGCAAGGTAATGGCACACAAGCTGGACCCACAGCTGTGGGGTAGGGGAAGCCTGGCAGAGAGCAGGGTGAAGCTCTGATACCCATCTCTTTCCTTTGTAAATACTTTAGTGCTCATTAAAGCTGGGATTCATTCCAGTGAGGCATGCCTCTCCTCTTGCAGCTCTGCAGTAGGGCTGTGCAAAATTTTGCCGAGTGTTTCATTTCGAAGCTGTTTCAACGTGTTTCAAGCTTGAAACAGTGAAATTGAAACGAAACAAAAAGCATCGAAACAGCTTTGAAACGAAATGAGGGCACTTGAAACGTTTCGAGTTTCGAAGCAGCCCAGTGGTGGGAGGCAGGGGAGAGCCAAGGCTGCGCTCTGAGCTGCTCCGCAGCCCCATGTAGCTCAGCCTGGCAGGGAGCACAGCCCTGGCTCTCCCCGCCTTCTGCCACCGGACTGCACCCCATGGGGCTGGTGGAGCTGATCGCAACACAGTGCTGATTCTGCCTGCCTCCCACTGCAGGGCTGTGCTCTGATCAATTCCACCAGCCCCCTGGAGCACAGCCCAATAGCAGGAGGCTGTCAGAGCTGGGGCTGTGCTCCACCTCCCACCACCGGACTGAGCTCCGAGTGGTTCTGGCAGCCCCATGGAGCTTAGCCTGGCAGCAGGAGGTGGAGCGTAGCCCTGGTTCTGCCCATCTCCCACCACCGACCTGCACTCCGATCAGCTCCACAAGCCCCATGGAGCCTGGGCAGCATTTGTCTTTCCTGGTGCTAGGTGCAGGCTGTGCCCAGCGCCAGTTCCAGGTGGCAGCATCCTATCATCAAGGATTTAGAATACAGCCAGTGCCTGTAACCCTTTTCTGCCTGGGCTCTGACTTGCTAGCCCCACTTCACCCCTCTCATTTTATCCCACAATGTACTGCATGTGAAGCAAGGGCAGCAAACAGCTGGTTGGTGATTTTTTTTTGTTCATAGAAACCCTCAGTCTTCAATCCTCTGTTCCTTGGATATTCCCTGCCCCCAGTTCTTGGAGAGGTCCTTTCATTTCCCTTGTCTGTGGTCAGGAACAAGCTGGCATGTTTGTTCTCTTCTGCCTTCTAAAGTAACTCCAAGTAACCTACCAAGGGAGTGCAGATAATCAGGCTTGGTTGGGGCCTGTACAGACAGAGCCTGCTGGTTGGGGCGATGGTGGTCCTTTCCCAGACAGTGTCACGGGAATGCTGCCTCACCTCAGGCCCTGCCTGACTAGAGTCTGCTCCTAATTATTGTTTGTTCTGGATCTGAATGCCCTGAGTCACGGCTGGCTGGATCATGCAGTGAGTTAGCAAGTTGCTGTTGTCTGGCCTCTGGAGCAGCCAAGGTTCTTGGGACTGGGAGTCCTGGCAACCAGGGAGGTTGCATGCACAAGTCTGTGCTCCGCTAGGCTCCTCTGAGGGGCTCGTGCCTGGCCCACGGCTCTGCCTCCATCTGTCCATGCTTGGTGGCCAGAAGTCAGAGCCTGCTGTATGTGGCTCTAGCAGAGTACCCTGGCTCAGCTGAAGAGGTGCCTGGGGTTGGTGTTCTAAGGGCTGGCTCTGATGCTAGCTGGGAGGAGTGGTAGCAATCTGTGCAGAGAATGGCAGCTGCCAGGGAAGAAGGTTTCTATGGGGTTGAAATGACTCTGGAGCTGTTCCTGTTCTGCAGGTGAAGATGTCCCTGGGACCTGAGCAGGGTGGCAGTGGGAAGGCAGCCAGCTCTGTAGAAGTGTGCCAAAGCTGTCCCATGTTGTGATGCCTTCCTTACCTTTGTGCCATGATACCATGCTGGAGTTCTGATGCCACATGGTGCCAATGGCAAAGGCCTGATGCTGTGGCCATAGCATGCCATTTGGACTGGTAGCCCTTGCCCTCTGGGCAGGTGATGGCCTTGGTTCCTGCCATGCGAACGCTGCTGTGTGGGGCACTCTGGGAGGGCTCCAACTCTGCTTCCCATAGGTGAATCTAGCTGGCTATTCCTCCTGAGCTGACCAAAATCCAAACTGCACCATTTCCTGTTGGGACAGAGAGAGCCTGAGGGGAAGGCCAGCTGACTGCAGGAAAGGGTGGACTAGAAATGAGGGGACACGTCTGCCTGTAGCTAATCCATTGCATGTGATGGGCATCCCAAGCCCTGTGCCCTGCCTCTCATTGTGGTGCTGTGGCTGTCCTTGCAGATTGACGAGCTCTACGAGGCATACTGCATCCAACGGCGGCTCCGCGATGGGGCCCACAACATGGTCAAGGCGTATACAGCTGCTTCCCCAGGCAGCAGAGAAGCACGTGAGAGCCTGGCTGAGGCCAGCAAAGGCTACAAGGAGTACACAGAGGTGAGGCAGCTGCAGCCTTATGGGAGAACAGAGAGCAGTTCTGGAGGGTAAGGGACAGGGTGGGAGCTTGCAGGTAGCCCACCGGCTGCTGCTAATGCATGCCTCTGGTTCCTCTTATCCCCAGAATATGTGCCTGCTGGAGAGTGAGCTGGAGAGTCAGCTGGGGGAGTTCCATGTGAAGATGAAAGGTAAAAAGGCCTGCCTCATATGTATAGCCAGCAGGTGAAAGGTTCTGCCCACAGGCCCTTGACTGGTGAGGTGAGGGCTTGAGCATGGGTGGTGACTCATCCATATGGTTCAAGCCATGCCTGCTTCTTGCTTAGGGGCTTTAGAACCAAGCAGAGAGCTGGGAAACAAAACCTGGCTCCTCAGTTTTCCTCTGGCCCTTGAGTCAGAGGAAGGACTTCTCCTTGTGAGCAGGTGCTGCACAACCCAGTGCCCCTCACTCACGACCTGCTGCCTCCTGCCCCCAGACCACCAGTATGTGGGGCAGGGAGTGCCCCAAGCAGCCCCTTGCAGGGTGGACCTATGACAGCCTGCAAGGGAAAGGCCATGGTTTCCCACATTTTTCGCCTTTAAAGGAGAATCCATTTTTGAAGTTTGATCCATTTTTAAAGTTTGTTCACAACCCTTTTCATATATTTTTGTGACCCACTTTTGGGTCATGACCCGTGGGTTAAGAAATGCTGATCTAGTCCAACCCCCTGTGAGGCAACGTCATCCCTATCCAAACCATCCCATACAACTATAATATAAATTCTTCATAAAACTACCATCAACCCTGACACGACATAAGACATAACACCCTAATCCGCCACAGGTAAAGTAGGCCAGCATCCTGCTTCTATAAAAGGCTATTAATATATGCTCAAGAGATCCTAGAGAGGGCCATGTCCCCATGGTTCAGGCTGTGCCTACCTCTGCTTAGGGGCTCTACTTAAATGGGCTGATTCTAACTCCCTGCTCTGTGCTTCTTCAGGACTGGCTGGGTTTGCAAGGCTCTGTGCTGGGGACCAATATGAGGTATGTGGAACTGCTTGTTTGCAGCCAGTAGTAGATGCAGCAGGACTTGGATCATTCCCTCTGTGTGCCCAGACACTGCATAAAGGTCCAGAGCTCCCTGCTGTTCCCATGTTTTGCCAGGTGGATCTGAGCTGAATAAGCCTGAGCAGGCCTTTTAGGGACAAGAGGGGAACCTTGTGGGTATCTCCCTTTTCCCAGAGACCTCCAGCAGAGCGAGAGGGACTGCTGCCTTCCACACATGCACTTGGCTCGATGCAGGCCTGGCTGGGAACTGGCAGTGTCCACAGCAAGGCCCTACTACAGGGGCTTCGCTCTGCCTCCAGACTTGAGGGGGAGATTGGTAGATACTGGTGTTTGGTAGGGGGTGTGCATGCAAACTCTATCTCAAGCCTCAAGGCAGCTCTTTCTTGCTCTCAGATCTTCATGAAATACGGGCGCCAGCGGTGGAAGCTAAAGGGGCGCATCGAGGTGAATGGGAAGCAGGTGTGGGACAGTGAGGAGATGGTGTTCCTGCCCCTCATCACAGAGTTTCTCTCCATCAAGGTACATGGCACCCCAGGTGCAAAGGGGCAGGCAGGGTTGGGGGGGGACTTGGACTGGGAGCACCATGTCAGTCTTCCCTGGGCAAAGCTAATGGACTTGGACTGGGTGCACCATGTCAGTCTTCCCTGGGCAAAGCTAATGCAGGTCTGCAAGGCAGGGACACACCCTCTGGAATGGGCAGGGAAGCAGCTCTCATCTTAATCAGCTCCAGTTTCATGAAGGGTTCAAACAACCGCACCCCCCCCACCCAGATACATATTTCTCACAGCTGCAGGACTCCCATACTTGCAGCAGATGGGAGAGTAGTCATGGGGCAATGAAACAGTGACCTCTGATTGCTGTGGGGTCTTGCAGTGAGACTGTGCAGCTAGTCACTGCATGTTCACTGTTCTAGCTGCTGCCTTATTGGCATCTCCCTCTCCTGGTTTTCTTCTGACCCCCTTTAACATACACAGTGAAAGTCCCACACCAGGAAGCAAGGAGTTTTACCTATTAGCAAGGTTGCCACAGCAGTGGAGGGCTCTGAAAGAGGCTGCCTGTCTCCACTTTCCCTGAAATGGGGAATCTCCCCAGTCCCTACTGTGGTGACTCACCGTATGTCTCTGATCTGTGCTGTACCTCCAGTCCTTGATCGCTGTCCCAGAGGGAACAGGCCAGCAGATAACTCTCCCCCAGCTATAGTGCTCCTCAGATAGGTGTGGTTGTGCCAAGCTGCTGACATAGCTGTGCCAGCTGCCCTGCTGTATGTTTTGCACTCAGCATCTGCTGCTGTCTGGTTTGGTCTGGAAGGCTTAGCTGAGAGAGTGAGCTGGAGAAGCAGAATGCAGAGGTGTTGGGAGGTGGAGGGGGATAGTGGCTGCACCACTGAGACAGCAGGTGCTTGCTGCTTTAGAAGCTCTGCTGTGCCCTTGGTAGTGGGGGTGATGTGCTGTGGCTGGGGGGAGTCTGGTTAGACCTTGCTGACAGGCTGTGGTGTGTGTGACACACCCAGATGCTCACACTGAGTGCCATGAGCTTGTGGGGAGCTGTAGCTCCAGGCATCCTGCCCCAGGGCGCTCACAGGGGCCTGTGCCACCTGGGCTGGTGTTTGTGCCTTATTTTGCTTCAGGCTGTCTGCATTTTCCTGTGGCAGAGGGGAAGGATACAGGCAGCAGGCATATGGGTCTGAGGAAAACCAGGAGGGGGCAGCAGCTTCCAATTAACTGAATGTTTCTGTCATGTAAATCCCGATAGTTCTGGGTTCTGCAGTGCTCACACTGAGGCCATGATGACGGTGCCTAGTTGAAGTCAAGAGCATTGAGCATTGCTTGTGCTGCTTCCCCAGACTTGTGGGTAGCCATCAGACACACCCTCTCTCTGCTGAGTTGCCCTCAGCCCCTTCTCCTTCTCCCCCAGGTGACGGAGCTCAAGAGCCTGGCCAACCACGTGGTGGTTGGCAATGTCTCATGTGAGACCAAGGATCTGTTTGCGGCACTGCCCCAGGTGGTGGCAGTGGACATCAATGACCTGGGCACTATCAAGCTCAGCCTGGAGGTGACCTGGAAGTGAGTGAGAATGTGGACTTGTTGGGCCCAGAGCTGCATTGCCTCTGGCTGTGCCCAGGGAAGTGGGTGTCTTCTTGAGGGTCATGTCCTGTCCCAGCAGTGCCACCCTGGGGTGCTTCTGGGTTCCTTGATCTCTGCTTGGGGGCAGTTCTAACTGAGGACCAGCAGCCATCTGCCTGGCTGTGTGCACCCTTTACCTTCCCTCCCTAACACCTATCCCCAGCAGGACTGGATGTAATTAGCAGCCCCAACTGGGGTTGAGGCTGTGCTGTCCCCACTCTCCCCTTCTCGTGCTGTGGCTACTTCAGCAGTGTGTGGGGGTGGGAGAACATCGCCCATCCTCTATCCCTCTCTGAGCTCCACCAAGGGTCCCCACCTCCTTCTCCTGCAGACCCCTTCCTGCTGTGTGACTGGACTCTGCTTGCTGTTGCTTTCCATGCAGCAGAACCTGGCTTGGTGCTAGCTATTATGGGGCTAATGTCAGCAGTGTGTGTGGCCTCTGGCTCTCCAAACTTCCACTTGGTCATTCATGTCATTTCCAGCCCTTTACCCCATAGCACAAAGGGTTTGTGGGGCTGTAACAATGAGCACAAGGAAAATAAGGAGGGAGATTGGGGAGTTCAGTCCCAGGCCTGATCCTGGAGTCCTTCACCCCTGAGAAAGTAAGGTTGCATCAGCCCTGTCCACAGCTGTGCCCCTCTCACCTCGCTGCTCTTGCTCCCAGCCCCTTTGACAAGGATGATCAGCCTTCTGCTGCCAGCACGGTCAACAAAGCCTCCACTGTGAACAAGCGATTCTCCACCTACAACCAGAGCCCACCCGACACGCCCTCCCTGCGGGAGCAGGCCTTCTATGTAAGTGCGCCCAGCTGCCCCTCTGCCTGCTCAGCTTCCTGAGGGGGCTGGGCCAGGCCAGGTTGGGAACACGCATGACTGGGGGGAGGGGAACTTGACTGGGCTGGGGAGAGTGTGATCCCATGTTCATCCTGAGCTGTCAGGAGGGTCCTGTACGAAGGACATGTTTCTCTCTCAGGGCCATGATGCGTGCAGATCAACATGGGGCATCCCAAAGCTTGGGACTTTGCTCTTTCTTTCATGTGCTCTGACCACAGTGGAGTAGGGCTGTAGCACTGCAGGCCACATGTGACAAGTGAGCTCCCCAGCGGCACAGCCTTCGGGACTGCTGCTTTATTGATTTCTTTTTCCTACATGTTTTCCTGGGAAAGGAGGGAGCAGCCCCACCAGCCAGCCAAATACTCAGGAGACCCCCTGTAGCTCCCAGGGGAGGGAGAGGCGAGCTGTGGCTTTCTGCTCCCTCTGTTCCAGCCATGAGGTCCAGAGACAAAGCCATAAGCCCCTCTCCTTCCCTGCTGACAGCTGCCTCTTCTCTCTGCCTAAGAGCACAGCACGGGCAGCCACCAACAAGCACAGGTGGTCTTTGCTGGACATCTTCCGTGAGACGCTCCTCGAGAAGCTGTCTCGGAGCTGCTCCTGCAGTGATGTCTCCTCAGTCGAACTTGGGAGATGTCCACGGCAGGGCTCTGTAAGTTCTCTGGCTCAAGCTGGCCTGTAGCTTAGCCTGGGTGTCTTAGTCACCTGACGTAGCTCTAGCTGCATCTTGCCTCCTACTCACTAGTCTGTTTTTAGGTAGGTACCTGCTTTGTGTGGCCAGAAATGGGTAGGGCTTCCCAGCCATAGGGGGCCAGGCCTGCAGGACTCCCATCAGTTAGAAAGGAGGGTGTGGGTACTTGATGGAGTTTCTGGGATGTCTCCAGTCCCTGCTGTGGAGGACTGACATGGAGTGACAGTGGCCAGTTGACTCCAGGCTGGACACCCCATTGCCTACCTGCATTGGGATCTGTGTGAGAGTTCAGACCCGGAGCAGTGTTCTGCTTGCCATGGAGAGCCCTCGCCATCCCTGGCCTCCCTGAGAGTCGGTCTGGCCTTGGGCAAGAG